AGTAAATGCTGGATGAATGAGTGGATTTCAAGGACGTAGTTCCTGTCGGGGTTGGACTCTCGTTCTTCTAGGTTTTAAAGAGATTCCTTCTTCCCTAATTTATCCAATTCCCTTTATTGGTGCCATTCATAAAATTCATAATCTGATTTTTAATACCCTTTCCTCATTTAATTATTGTTATAATGTTGCGGTTAGCAAAGGAAAGAAACATTTTATGAAATAAAATGCTGAAATGTAGAAGCCACCTGCAGTAGGTGCTGGGCATTTAGCCGTCTGGCCTGCCTCCTGCCCAGTTCCAGACCCACGGCCTCATGGGGGAGGGTCTCCAGCTTCAGTTTCCAGCCGGTACCTGCCACGTGGGAGTGAGTAAGGAGCCCTGTTTAGAACGGGCTTCTCTTCCTCACTGCACCAGCCTCCTAGCAGAGTGGGGGACTGGATTTAGAAGCCAGTACCGTGCTTCCATTTTTGTTTTCAGACAGATAAGGAGGTCAAAGTTTTAATACAGAAAATTTCATTTTAAGGTGTAGAAAATCTCCATTTGCATCAAGTGCCAATACGCGCTTCCTCTCTGATTTTTATAAATTATTTAATCCCTTGAAACCAGTTTCTTCATCCATAAAATGGGGATAATAATTTCCCACCATTCAGACTCATTGCAAAGATTGAATAAGTGTGCATATTAACTAACTCACGGAAGTTGCTCAGCAAATTATGGATTCAGTTCTAACCTCCACATCATTCAGAAGCATCCATTCCTGGATATCCTACCAAACTGCACACACTTTCCTCTTTATAAAGCAGTTTAGGAAGCTCGCGTGCACTGGGAGCTGGATCGGTTAACACTGTTGGCGTAAAATGATGTCTGGGACAAATGCTACACTCACCCTCCTCCACAGGCCTCCACGCTGAGTCCTTCAGCACAGTCAGGCCCAAGCAGCTGCCTTTTCCAGGGATGGCTCTGAGCCAGGCATCCTGGCAGCCTCAGCCCCTAGCCAGCCAGCTCGGGCCTCAGGACACCTTCCACCCACTGAACCTTGGTTACAAGGCCACAGAGGGATGCCCTGGCAGTGCCATGTCACAGGCGTGCTATGAGATCATGCATGGGCAACAGCTACTTAAACTGAAGCAGCATCAGGACCAGCGGGAGGGCTTGTTCAAATGCAGGTTCCTGGACCCACCCCAGAGGCATGGAACTGTCTGAGTGGATCTGTGGTGGGGCCAGGCAACATGCATGTCTAATTGTGTGACGAATGCTGATGCTGTTGGTCAGGACCACACCCGGAGTAGCAGGTGCAAAGTATGTAACATGGGGCCAACACTTAGCAATCAACATGTTTCCCACTTGACAAGCACTTTTTTTGCTTCCATTACTGCTACGACACCTTTCTCAATGATAAAGGCTGTTGGAGAAAAGACCCTAAGTCGTCTTTTCCTAGTAGTCTCTTCATCCAGGGCCCCACATGTGGACTGACAATTTGGGTTTGCAGGAGAGCGTGCTCAGCACCTGCTGCTTTCCCTGGCACCTGTGGGGACTCCCTCTCTAACTTCACTTCCCGAACACCTGGTGAGCTCCATGCCACAGGTCATGTTAACACCACTTTATGGATCAAGAAACTGAGGCGTGAAGAAGTTGCCTATCAATCTGGGCCCAGGTGAAATAGGACAGAACAAAAGCCACCCTGGGTTTTGTGAATCCAGGGAGCCTGTGGATTTGTCTCACCACTGCCTCCTGTCATCCAACCACTGAGATACTGGTTTTGTTTTTCTAAAATGGCCCTGCCTGTTCCCTTGACCTCACTGAGTGGTTATTTGACGAAGTGCAAACACCATCTAATTGTCAGTGACACAGTGAAATAGGATCTGTGATAAATGAAGAAAAACTGCTGTCACGCTGGTGTCAAAGATTTCTTTGTGAACAGCGTTGGAACTTGGGGAGCTTTGGCTTCATCAATATTCTGTTTGCTCTATTCTGATGTCAGCACTCCAGCCCCCAGCACCTCTGGGCAGCAGGAGGCATTGGTGACAATTGCAAAGGACCCTGTAGAAATGGCTCTGGGTGCTCGTCTCTCTGGTGCCCTCCTCTCTCCAGAACTCCCAGACAGCCTTGCCGGAGAACGCACTGATTAATGTGGTGTAATGGCTCTCAGAGTGTCTGTTCATTGCAGGTGCACACTCCCTCCGGCAACTAAAGCAGTGGTTCTCAACCTTCTGGCCTTTTAAATACAGCTCCTCATGTTGTGACCCAACCATAAAATTATTTTCGTTGCTACTTCATAACTGTAATGTTGCTACTGTTATGAATCATAATGTAAACATCTGATATGCAGGATGGTCTTAGGTGACCCCTGTGAAAGGGTTGTTCAACCGCCAAAGGGGTCACGACCCACAGGTTGAGAACCACTGCACTAAAGGGAAATCCATCCTCAGAGCACAATGAAGAGGACTAAAAGCCTGGGACCTCTTCTTATCCCCACAGGAGAAGCAAGCCCTAGACTCCCAGACCCTCGCCTTCCCTTCTGAGAAATGTGACCAGAGGCAGAAACTGCATTTCGCACTCACTGCTGAACAAATAATCAGAATCCTCTTTCTCACCAAAGGTATGAAATGTCATGACGGGTCAGACCCAAGTCGAAGAGGCTTCTACCATGTGAAGAATAAAATTACTGTCTGAAAAAAAAAAAAGAAAACTGGTAGAAAAAAAAAAGAAGAAAATTACTGTCTGAGAGAGAGACTCTAAATGCTCATCTCTGGAATTGTGGTCTTGGTATTGTAAGTACATTCTTTTAGACAAAGACCCTACGAGCAACTTGCCCTGCTCCTGAAACAGGGCTGCGCCAGGACACGGGGAGCAGCCAAGACAAGGGACAGCCTCTCTGTCCGGCCTCACAGGAAACCTGTCCTGTGCCCTCCCATTTCCCCAGGGCTCGCTCCCCCTGGGTGCCTCCAGATATGTTTATGCACGTCCACTTCCACCTCCTGGAACAAGTAAAGCTGGCCTAGCAGAATCCAAGGTAAGAAAATCAATCCTACTCTAAAAATTGGCAATTAGCCCTAACTGGTTTGGCTCAGTGGATAGAGCCTCGGCCTTCGGACTGAAAGGTCCCAGGTTTGATTTTGGTCAAGGGCATGTACCTTGGTTGTGGGCACATCCCCAGTTGGGGGGTGGGGGTGGGCAGGAGGCAGCTGATCGATGTTTCTCTCTCATCGATGTTTCTAACTCTCTATCCTTCTCCCTTCCTCTCTGTAATAAAATCAATACAATATATATTTTTTTAATTGCCAATTAGAGCTCTGCTGTGGACAGCACCTCCTGCTGGGGGCTAGGTCAAGGCTTTCCCCAGGAGGCTGGGAGTGACCTGCTCCGTTTAACCTCACCACGTGGCAGGACTGGGATGCAGGAGAGAGGGTTGACATCCATGTTCAGTTTATGGGAAAAGCCAGAAGTCCCACAGTGTGTGAGAAGCCATTTCTCTTGGCTCCATCCTGACCTTCCCTATCGTAGTGATCTGCTCTTGTCACTGTAGCACCATAACCCAGGTTGGGGTGCCGTGTACACAGAAGTGGGTAAGTTCTCCTCCTCTGGGATCTTCTGCCAGCAGGTTCTGCACCGAAAATGTCTGTCCATAAGCCTTTCTCCAGGCCCCAGCCAGTGTCCCAGTCCTCAGCATACACAGTACCTACATTTTCTCCTTGGAGTCTAGGCACACCTGGACTTGCTCCACCCAGAGCCGCCCAGGCCCCTACCAAACCTGGCAGTCTTGCTTTCCAGCCACTGCTTGTGCCTCCAAAGAAGGGGGGGCCTGTGGCATTCTTGGACAAACTCACACAAGAGATGTTCAGGTCAACCCTCCAGGCCATCGATGGACGTAGAGCAACTGCTCAGCCCCACCTCAGCCGTGCGGGACTTTCCCAATACCCTCCCCACCCACTACCCTCCAGAACCAGGACCACAGGGCAGCCCTGAGCAGGGCCCCACCTTGTCCCTCAGCTCCTTCGCCCCTGCCCTGAAGGGCCTCGGAGTACCACCACCTGTCAGCTCACTGCTCGCCCCTGCGTGGTGTCAGGAAAGGGGGGTCGGGGGTAAAATAAAGGGCACAATGGGACTCCTGTCACAAGCCAAACAAAAACCAAATCAACACCGAAACCAGCGAGAAGCAGTGAGAGGCCACTGCTGGGCTTGGCCAAGGAATCTGTTTCTAAGCCAAGAGAAAGAAATATTTCAAACCAAAGACCTGTCAGAATCAGTGTGTGCTGCCTCAGTCCCAGAACCTCGCAGCTGGAGAGGGAAGCCCAGGGCTGAGGGGCGTCCCAGGAGCCAGGAGTGCAGCGCCACGCTCTCCCCGGCCAGACCAGCAGCTGCCTTCCTCTCTGCTGGGCTGGGATGGTGGTGTTGCTGGAACCTCGTGCTTCAATGGGCAAGTATGAATGTCTTCCTTAGATGAATAAAAATGGGAAGGTAGGCTATTTTTGAAAGAATGCTTTTCATTTGCTGGAGGAAGTCTTCCAAAGCCTGGGGCCCATGAAGGCACAGCAAGGAGGATGCTCTGCCGTGGAGGGCTAGACACCGAACCCTTCCGAAGCCCTCACACTGGCCACCCACCAAGACACACCATTTCCGCGGGCAGAACATTGACTGGGGGCGAGGACACACCGGCGGCTGTGAAACTAGAATCTATTCTATCGAATGAGCCTTTCACAAAGAAAACGCATCCCCTTTGAGTCCATTCTCAGTCGGTTAGATGTCCTCACCCTGGGCACAGTGCTTTCCGGCACGGGCCAATGCCACTGCCGAAGCCCAGGTGCCCGCGTGAAGGCCAAGCTCCCCAACCTGCTTTTCCCCAGTGGACACCGGTTTCCGTGATTCAGCCCTTTCCCGGAAGACTGTCCACCTTACCTTGGGGAGCCTGGGGGCAGTCCCAGGATGACTATTGAGGTGAGGTGGCCCTGACCCCTGAGCTCCCTGTGGCACCCCGACTTACCCAGGCGTGTTCTCCAGCCTTAAAGTAAAGAGTCTTCTGGTGGCATGAGTAGAAGTTCTTTCCCGACTCTCCTTACTGCTGGGTGTGCTGTGTGAGGGGCCTTACCTCGTGGGACAGGTAGAAGGCGGCAATGCCCAAAGGCCAGAAGCAGCAGAGCATGGAGAAGACGCTGAGACCCAGGTGGTCCCGGGGGGGCATCATGAGAAAGTTGTCCTCGCTCTCTGTATCACTGGAGTAGTTGCTCTGCAAGAGAGAAAGGGGGGATGAAGAGGGTTAGTAAAGGAACCACTCTGTGATGCCCTCTGAATCTGGAGGTGGAGGTCACTATTGTTATTGCCTGCAAGTCCTACCCCTCAAAAGGAAGTGCCCAGCGGAGGGAACTCTTACCAAGAACAGGAAGAGAAAAATTGCAGGCACAGGGTTATAGGTCATTCCACAGATCACAAAACCCTATAGGAGTCAATTACTCACAGATCTTTGGGATGAGGGCTGGGCAGTGGGGGTAAAGGTCTACTCTACAGAGGATAGAACTGGCTACTCTCAGAAGGACACATTTTGTGGATTCCACTCTTTATTCTGACACATGGGGATTTCTACTTATTTATCTATTTTATTTATTCATTTTTTAAAAAGACTAGCTTATTGATTTTTAGAGAGAGAGAAAGGGGAGAGAAACATCGATGTGAGAGCGCAACATGGATGGCTGCCTCCTGCATACCCCCTACTGGGGATCGAGCCTGCAACCTGGGCATGTGCCCTGACTCGGAATCAAACCAGCAACCTCCTGGTGCAGTGACTATGCCCAACCAACTGAGCCACACGGGCCAGGGCTGAGACAGAGGGATTTTTAAAAGCTCGGCCAATTCCACCACTGATCAAACCTCCCTGCAGAGGGCGCACTGGAGCGGAGCTTGAGGATGCGAAAGGGCAGTGACATTGTGGCAGGATAGTAAGAAACTAGGGAAATCCCTGGGCACGTGGAATGGGGAAACAGACAAGAAAATTAAACAGGCCAAACTGTTTGGGCAGCTTGCAGCCAGCTTGTGAATCACAAGACCTTATCTTCCCCAACCAGGAACACTTGAGAGTAATGACTTATACCTCTCCTCCCTAACCAGAGAATACAAAGCTTGAATCACCTTAGCCTGGGAAAACAGAGAACAGAGACCCAACTAATGCCATTTGTGCCAGCCGAACCCAAGGACAGATGAAGTTGGGTAACAAATAACAAAAACCCCATTAAAGCCAGACAGACCTAAGGTAAAAGGACAACAGCAAAACCGACCAAAGAATAACCCAAAATTCCCCAATAGACTCATTTTGATACTTCAGCATATTAAAAATACACCTGGATAGCTGATGAATATTCTGCTGAAACCCTCCCATAAGATTCTCACCTGTAGAAAAAAAAAGGGGGGGGGGGTAAAAAGCCCCCAGGACAAAGAGTCAGTGTGGCACCTGTGCCCCTTCTCGGGCACGAACATTTGATTTCTTCCTAAACTCTAAGGGTCCCCATGAAACTTGCAACCAGGGAGCAGTGGGCAGCTGCAGCCCGACCCAGGCTCACCCCTGATCCTGTCTCCAAGGCCCCTTTCTCTGACTTCCCAGCGAGCTGAAGCAGCCCCGCCTTGGCTCAGTTTTTTCCTGTAACATTCTAGAGCCAGAGCAGAGCACCCTCTCGGCTCTCCCCTGCTGCTGCTTCTACCCCAATTCCTTCCCTCTTTCACTGTCCTCAGCTGTAGTAAATGTACCCTCAAACCATCTGCACTCCTGTTGTGACATCTTCCCTACGCGAAGTCAAGAACCCACTCACTGCAGGCCAGCTTGAGGCAGAGCTGCTTTGGGTCGGTCCTTACCTGGGAATCATGTCAAGGGGCTTCCACTCCTACATGCCCAGCTAGAGGATGCCTGTGTCCCAGTTAGTTATTCCACGGGCTGGGCCCCCACGACACATTTTCTCTCCTCATCAGCATATGGCACACTCAGGCCGATTCATCCCAAACTGGGGCCACTCTCCATGATGATTTCAGAGAGATGGAGTCCCATTTTACTCCAGCTTTTGTCAGCTGCAGGAGTTTGCTAAACATGTGCCCCCCTGGTGCAGGCTGGAGATATGTAGGACCACCGCAGTGCATGCTGGCCTGAGGCGGCTTCAGAGGCAGGCGCTCACCTAAGGTACCAAACACTCAGGTGGGTGCACTATATGAGCCTAACACCTGTGTGGGTGCCATGGCCACCAGCACCCCCCAGCAATGCCCCCTGGTGTCTCCCCTGCCTTCCCACACAGACAGACACCGATGAAGTCCACAGGTGCGGACGATGTCCTTTCCTATTTTGTTAATTAAAATGCACATGAAATGCCCACCTGAGCCTCTCATTAGTGTGCAGACGGCAGCAGTGCTTTAGTGAAACGGCGGAAGCTTCCTGTTAGGACTTCTCTCGTCTCGTTGAGAAAACAGGCAAAGTCTGATGGGCTCACTCAAACCACAAACAAGGACCTTGTCTGGAGGGCCCTGTGATGGAAGTGGGTGATGCACGGTCTACGCAGCAGCTGTCCCCCCAGCTCTGCAGGGTAGGGGCTTTGAGGACCAGCCCCTTCCTGCCAGGGGGCACTGCCCCTTCTCAGGTGAGTCACAAGCACTGCTGAGTTTGGGATCCCACAGCATATACCCCCAGAGCTGTGTCTGAAATTTACATTCTTTTACTCTGCAGCATCACCTCCCAGATGGTCTCCCCAACAATAGAGGGAAATGAAAATTGCTCCCTTTATGCCTGTCAGAGATGGGAACTAAACAGCCTTCAGGATGCATAATTCATGGGTGAGATTCATGGGTGGATGAGGGCTGCCTGGGTGTGCTGCCGGAGGGGTACATGAGTGGGGTCCCTCCACTGTTTGTGGGGTTCTTGGGGTGCGGCTGAAAGGGGAATTTTCAGAAGCCCCCACGGGAGGATGAGGTGGCAGAAGGTTTCACTGGTGTAGAGTTACATCTCTCAGGTTCCAATGTCCCATTTCCCCCAAGCCGGTCCAGGAAGAGAGGCAGCTGGGAGTTCTGTAGAGGCAGAAAGAGGGCCAGTGTCCAGAGTTTCCATCCCATGTTGCAGCCGGGTGTGGTTCAGCATCCAGGCCAGGTTACAGCCTATTAGTCCTTTTGTGGAGCCCAAGAAGGCCGTGCACCATGTGGGCAGAGGGGAGCGCAGCCCCTGCCGCAGGAGGCCCAACGGGAACAGGCATGGGAGCCAAGGGAGCCCACTTCTTTGTTTAGAAGTTGAAATATTCAGGTTTTGTGCGCTTGCAGTGGCCATGCCCATTCTGGCCAATTGCCTATTTCCAGGTCTGACTGATGGGCAATTAGCCTCCCACATCACTCAGACCTTACTGGGCATGCGTCTAACCTGCCTTTGTCTAGTCCCTTCCCCCATGGATTAGCAGGGAATAGACCTGCAGAGTGTTAAATGCAGCTTTTTGGCAAAGCTGTGTAAGTGGCACGCCTATACTACCTGGTCTCCTCTTTCACTCCTTTCCTGTTAAATAATAACCAGGTTCTTACAACGGTATCAGGTGGAGACGCACATGTGCCAGCCCCTGTGAAGTTGAAATCTCTTATTTGAATGGAGGCTGTGCAGCGTTGCCAGGCAGAGTCCGAGTATCTTCATGGCCCTTCCTCTCTGCAGCCGTGTCAACCTCAGGGTCACCGGGCCCTCATCTGGGACCGAGGGACCGAGTGCTGAGCTGTGTTGGAAAGGCTGAGCTGCACGTTCTGGGAAGGGAAGAGCCCACAGTGACCGTCCCAGCTGAGTGAATCCCAAGACCCTCTGCGTGAGGTGGAGGGGCAGGACTGAAAGGACAGCCTGTCTGACCCTCAGCTCAGTCCCGAGTTCATGCACTTCATGCTGGCGGGTCCAGGTGCTGCTCACGGTGTCCTCACACGTGTACAGCAACTCCGCCTATGGACATTTGTTTAGTGTTTTTGATTGTTTGTTTTTAAAAAATGATTTTGTTTTTTGTTTACAAAGAGTTTTATACACAGTACCTGAGTTGGCTGGATTCTAACAGCAACTCTGGAAATAGGTGTTGTTCCTGTCTTTACTTTTACTTCTATTTTACAAAGGACAGAGCTGGACTCTGAGAAACTGAAATCTTTCCAAATCACAGAACCACCCAGACAGTGGCTGCTCAGTCCAGATTATGCTGTGTTTGGACACCAACCAAAAACGTGGCTATGTTACCATTAAACACTTTACCTCAGTTGCTTCTTGTCCAAAGATAAGGTGTCTCCTTTGACCAAGGATTCTGATGACTTTATTTTATTTCTTTTTTTTTTAATATATCTTTATTGATTTCAGAGAGGAGGGAAGAGGGAGAGAGAGGGAGAGAAACATAAATGATGAGAGAAAATCAGCTGCCTCCTGCACACCCCACACTGGGGAGCAAGCCCACAACATGGGCATGTGCCCTGACTGGGAATCGAACAGTGACCTGGTCCATCGGTTGACACTCAATTACTGAGCCAACCGGTTGGGCATGACTTAACTTCTTGACTGGCCTGTTTCATGGTGGTGACATGGAGGCCAGTGGTGACAGTGCCCAGTTGAGAGTTTTCTCAATCAAACGGCCAGGGTGTGTGAACTGCTGCCCCAGGCCACACAGGCAGCCGACAGCACTGACTTTCGCCTTTGGAAACTGCTCAGAATGACACCGCTATACCCATGAAGCAAAGAATTAGACTTCAGGGTACTCCCCCAAAATCTTCACAGATTTTCATTTAGAAGCATAAGGGAAGCACACTACAAATTACCGAGTTGTGGCTACATGGCACCAGAACAATTAGTCAATCTTGACTAAAATAGATTTTAAAATAGATTCAGACAAATTATAGGGTAGACAGAACAGCCCAGCTCTTTTCTCGTTCTTTCTTCCATTAGTAGGTTATAAGTGGCTGTGGGCATCGTGCCACCGAACAGCAAGGAGAGGAAACGAGGCCGCGTGCAGGAGGCTATGTACACACCAATAAACCAAATAGAAAAAATATGCATAACTACCAACACCAGCACATTCATCACCCACAGCAGCTGCTTCTAAAATTCCTCCTCGTGGGTCGCTGGATTGGAATAGCTGCGACGCAGATTGAAAGTAACTTAATGGAGGTGGCAGTGCACCTGAAGGTCCTCCCTTTTGAGCTAACCCTTTGCAGGAGGCAAATGCTACAAAAAGGTAGAGAAAGGAAGGAGCCGCTGGGTCCCTC